TTACTATAGTATTCCATACACTTGCAACATTGCCCCATTGCTCCCCCATCCACTTTATTTATATACCTTTTCTAAATCCATAAATGCAATGAAAAATTCCCTACCTTTTTTCAAAAAACTGTTCAATATAGGGTTTTAATGTAAACACCGGGTCTAACATTTCCCCACCCCCAAAAAACCCTTGCTTTTCTCCAGTCCGCTCTCTGTCTTAAACCCCTAATTCTTTCAGTAATAAACCCCCAGCATACACTTTACCTGGTATAAATCAGTACACTTTTTTTTTTTTTTTTTTTTTTTCAAGTCGGCCCTCTCCCAAAAAAGGGAGGGGGACCCAAAAAAAAAAAAGAAAATCCCCAAAAAGAAAATATTTCATCATCATTCAACACTTTCCCACACCCCATTATCACTGCTTTTGCGAGGTCCCAAAATACAACAGTTCAGAAGATATACGTATAAATAAAAACATATCCCCCAAACGCCAATACCCAAAACCCCCTCCTTTAAAGTGCGGCTTTGTATTCCTTTTCCGGACTCAACCCGCTATATGAAAATAACCGTTTCCTAACCCCTTCCTAAAATTACCCTGCTCACACCCAACAGATCGTAGGCCCAAAGTATTTGTCTCCTTTCATCCTACAAATACGTTTGCCGTTGTGGAAGTCAAGCCCTAGCCCAAAAAAACCCCTTTACCCCTTTTTCCAACCCTTTCGAGGCGCCCCCTACCCCTCCTTCCTTCCCCTATAGATTTATTGCTTTCCAGTCATTTATTTTGATCCATTCCTCAAAATGACCATACCCCTCAAAAAACCCCTCTTCTGCCCTCTTGATAATGCTTTTATTAAACTCCCCACCCTTTCTCCTAATTCCACACCCCGAATTTTCTGCATAATATTTACCCCCCAAACATTCCCCTTAGACAGGACATCCCCACTCCCCTCCAACCTTTCCCTCGCTGCTGCATTTACCACCCAAGCTTCACATCCAATAAGAGTTTGGGTATACCTATTTTCATACATTCCCTTTTTTCCCTCATAGATAACGTTTTTTTTACTCCCAATAAACCCCAACGCACCACTCACCTTTTTTCCCTTTATCAAATTTTATGATTAACCCCATCCTTCATAAATCCCTCCCCGACCTCAACTCCCAAGTTCTGAAAAACTTATTCTTCCCTACTCCCCCCCCAAAATTTATATCCAATTTTTCTTTACTAAATCATTTAACCCTCATACTTTCCTTTTTTATGTTCACTTTCAACTTCTACCTTTACACACTTCTCAAAATCCCCTAACCCTTTTCAATTTTTTTAGAAACTCCATAAGCACAGATCATCACAAAAAGTAACTGTGTCAATTCCCATTTTGAATTTGATTCCCCATAATTTAATCCCCCCCCCTCTCCCAACACCCTAGATTTACTTTTTTTACAACCCCATCTATAATATATTTTAAAAACCAGGTGACATTACACTCCCTGTCTAAGACTACTTTTCGGGGAAATTTCTCCCCTCTTTACACACCCTAACCTGGCCT